ACATGAACTTTATAACACGTTCGTATCATTGAGTAGATTAATATTTTCAAGCATGAAAATTGAAATCGCTTTGTTCGACTAAAGTCAATTGAAATATGTAAAATAACTAGACAAGAGTCCAAGAAATGTCTGTATTACATATTTTTTCCCATATAGTTAGACTAAATTATATCTGGTAGTGGTTAGGTAACTGAAATGAGAAACGCAAATTAATCATTAGCAATTGGAAGAAAATTCGACGACAACCTAATTTGAGTAAATTATTGATTAATAATATATTTAAATGAAATAAGTAATAGTTGAAGTTCAACACAAGGAACTACAGTTTTTTTCGAAAGTCCGACAACTCGAATAAAGGAAATAGTAATAGCGTTATATATAATCATATATAAAACAATTTAAAAACAAAGCCAAAGTACTATTATAATATTATCTATCCAAAATTTTTTTCAAAATTCTTAAGTTAGTTTTAGCAAATTTAAAAAAAATTGTTGTTTAAATTAAAATCAATTTTTATATGTAAAACATGCAAAATATGTTCTTTTATGAAATAATCCGTTTTAAATCTTTCTGAACATTGTTTATTTCTACCATTACAAATTACAACATTAATATTGCCTTTTTTTTCGATTGGATCACCAGAAGGACAACTTACCTTCACATCTTTTAAAAGGATGGGATTTCGTACTCGTTTCATTTTTTGCACAAATGCATTCCATCTTGGCTTTGGTAGTCCTCTTCGTTAGCACATGCCTCGGATCCAAGGTTATTCTCATTTCCTTTGATGGATTTCGTCATGATTACATCGAAATGGCTAAAGAACAGAGTAAAAATGTATCCGCCTTCGAATATCTGGAAAGGGAAGGCTTCAGAGGAATGCAAGTTCATAGCATAATGCCATCTCTCACATTTCCATCACATTTCGCCCTTGTCACTGGTCGTAACGCAGAAAATCACGGTTTGGTTGGCAACACATTTTATGATTCGAAATTAAAAGACAATTATATATATAAAAATTCGACAAAACAACTTGAGTC